CATACACAGCACAAACCTCACATTCCCATGCTCTGCAGAAGACACACAGCTTTGTGAGCCTGGAGGAGCTGGGCAGATCCCGGCTCTGGGTTGCACCTATTGCACGGCTGTGTTTCCAGCGAAACGCAGCCTATGTCTTTAGCAGAGCACTCTGGATGGCACTGTACCATACAGGGAAAGCAAAGAGAGAAGCACGTGGTTCACAGGGATTGGGAAGGGCTGCGGGGGTTCCCAGCACAAGCAGTGCCAGCTCTGGGGCAGCTGGGGTTGCTCAGGGCTTTGTGTGGTCATGTCTCAAACTCCCCCAGGATGGAGATGGCCTCATCTCTCTGAGCAACCTCTGCTCTCAGAGAGAAAACGTTCCTCCTTATACCCAGCAGGGACTCCTCTCGGTCTGACTCACAGCCTCCTACAGCTTCAAAGTCCTAAAGGCCAACTTCAACCCCTCCCCAGCTCAGTACTGAAGAGGAAAGGAAGAAAACAGGAGAATAGGGTGGATTTTTACAGCAACACTGAAGTCCTTTGGCTTGGACACAAGGCACTCTGAGGTTACTGATGAGGCAAGCTGTGGAACAACGATGTTTCCAGCAATAAAAAGGGAATTTTCCCCTCCTGGCATTGAAGCCAGGTCTGTAGCCGCACGGAGGTGGAAGGCTTTCAGAGAAGAAGAGGCAGGCTGGCTCCTGTGGAGCCGTACCCTTGGGCTAAGGAGGACCTAAAAGTGCATCTCCACTTCCTCCGGCATGATCTAACAACCTGCTTAGTGGGCAGGCGTTGGGGCAGCAGCTGAGCCTGGCTCAGCACATGATTGGCGGTGCTGCTCACAACCAGGGGCTCCTGCCTCTGCATGGCACTTCTGGGGGTCCCCCCAGGCAGAGGGGAGACAGAGACCACAACCTGTGTGACCACTCTGCTCCCTGAGGGTGGGCGGATCGCTCAGTGTCCCAGCATGAAAGCTTTTCCTTGTAAGTGACTGCAGTTAGAAGGACAAAAAACCACGTTAGACATGTTTGGCTGCTTCACACTTTTCTATTTTGGAGAAGATTTGGGATGAGGACTGATTAAATGTATTATCAAGTTATGTGAAAATGGTCCCAGCAAATCTGCTGAACAGAGGAGGACCCAAATTTAGGATCGCTGCAGAGGACATTTTTGCAGGGCAGAATCACAGGAAGGAGTCAGCCTGGGTTGCTTTCACCTTCAGATGCCTCCTGGGCCACACCAGCCTGGCTCCTGCGCTGCAGTTCCCCCCGGCTGCCAATTTTTGCAGTGATGTATGACAAACATATCATCGACCAAGAGGTAAAGATGTCTCCATGCAGCCTGCTGAAACCACATCCAACATCCCTGAGCAGGAGCCAATGCAAGGACACAATTGCTGGTGGCACCACTTGGGGCACAGGGACATCAGCAGCGGGCATCACCAGAACCAGGTGTGGAGCAGCAGAAGGTACATCTGGGTCATGCTGAGCAATGGGGATGGATCGACTGCCCAAACTGTGTGTTTGGTGAATACATGGGGAGAATTTCAACTCTCAACATATATTTAGTGAATACAAAGGGGATATTTCAGCTTCTCAGAGATTCAGCATCAGCCTGGTGCTCCTGGAGACCTGCTGGAGCCCCTGGCCATGGTGTTGGGCACTGCCCTGCCCAGCTCAGCTGTGAATCAGAGAATCATAGACTGGCCTGGGTTGCAAAGGCCCACAGTGCTCACCCAGTTCCAACCCCCTGCTGTGTGCAGGTCGCCAACCAGCAGCCCAGGCTGCCCAGAGCCACATCCAGCCTGGCCTTGGATGCCTGCAGGGATGGGGCATCCACAGCCTCCTTGGGCAACCTGTTCCAGTGCCTCACCACCCTCTGGCTGAAGTCATGCTGTGTGACTATAGAAAAGAAGGGCAACCATTTGTGCAAGCTCTAGAAACACCATGAAGTCTCTGCCCCAGCTGCTGGCCAGCATCTCCCACTCCAGCAGATCTCACTCATTTGGATGCTGCTGCCCTCATTTTGTTTTTTCCTCTTCTGGATTGTATCAATTAAGTAAAGGCAGGAAGCTGGGAAGGCAAAATTGGCCTTCAGAAGGAAACCATAAACCTCTAAATACAGCATGGTGAGCGGGAAGCTTCATCCCAAAGGCTGCTCTGAGAAATGAGCCGGGATGCTGCCACCACCAACCGTCCTCGATGAATACATAGATGATGACTCCTTCATTTTCCTGTTCCAGTTGCCCTGGAAACTTCTCCCTTGTGCTATTCATAGGAGCAAAGTACATTAGGAAAGATCCCTGTGCAGAGGGCTTTGTTACAGGCACAGCTCTGCCACAGGGGACACACCAGAACCCCTGGTGCCAGCTGTCCCCACATGCAGGAGGACAGTGTATGGGGCACAAACACTGTGCCCATGGCTGAGCAAGCAGGGCAAAGCATGTTTCACACCACATATTCACAGCTTGGCCTTGCTAACCCCTTATTCTCTATGGCTTCACCCCTTCAGCTCACAGCAGGGGCAGAAGCGCACAGGTCTGAGCGCTGCCCCCAGTGCCTCCAGCCATGCACAAGGACAAGAACAGCCCGAGGCATTACGCCTGCAGATCATCAACCCACCCGTGCTCTACGTTCCCACCCATGGATTATTTTCTCAAAGCAGAAGAAAAGCACAGAGGATGGGTGTGGGCAGCAGCCCCGTGGCTCCTCACACCTCCCACGCCCGAAGCACCAGGAAATAGCAGGGTGCAGCTGCTCTCAGAACTTTTCCCCCACACACTCCCAGATACACCAAATATTTTCCACGCATATGTCTGTTTATATATATATATATGTATATATAGCACAGAAATGCTTATGCATGCAGCATAAGGCTGCTTGGAGGTCACAGCTCACAGGGAGATGGGAGGGGATGGAGCCAGGACCAGACCAACGTCCCAGCGTAAGCCAAGCAGGGAGCGATGCTGCAGGTGGGCACTGAGCTGCAGACACCTGAATCCTCTCCTGGCCCACCACATGGCACCAGGTTGGGCTACATGGGACAGCAGTGCCCCAGGAGGGAGGCACAACGATTCTGGCACGTAGAGCCCATGGCTTTAGCACTTGGACTGTCAGCAAAGGACAAACCTTCCATTTTCCAGCCAGCCCAGGCACCCACTGCAGGAACCCACTGAGGATTATCTGCAGCAGGTGGTTTGTGCTTACATAAAGCTATCACTGAGTACATTAACCAACACAAATGCCTTTCCCTCTGCTTGGCTGCTTCTCCCTTGCCAATTCTTGCCCAAATCTCTCCCAACATGGAGATAAAACCCCTCACCATCAGGATGGCATTCAGCTCTGCCTCTGAAATACCACTTTTAGCAATCAGGCATACGTTGGGCACACAGCCATGCTTACATTGCTTTGCATTGCACCAAACACGTGCTGCAGCCACAGAGCCCAGTGCCTCCTTCCCAGCCAGGGGCAATCATTGGGCTGGAAAAGGCCTCTCAGAGCACCAAGGCCAACCTGCCTGCACTGACCACATCCCTCAGTGCCACAGCTCCATGGTTCTTGATCACCTTCAGAGACAAACCCCATCCCAGCACTCCCAGCACTTTTGCTATTTTGTGCTGTTTCTATAGGAGATTTCTCATCTATCCTATTTTAGCTTGGAGAAGAGAAGGCTGTGGGGAGACCTCATTGTGGCCTTCAGTACTTGAAGGGAGCGAATAAACAGGAGGGGGAACGGCTGTTTGTGAGGGTGGATGGTGATGCAAAAGGGGGAATGGCTTTAAAGTGAGACGGAGAGGTTTAGGTTGGATATGAGGAGGAAGTTTTTGAGCCAGAGGGTGGTGAGGCACTGGAACAGGTTGCCCAAGGAGGCTGTGGATGCCCCATCCCTGCAGGCATTCAAGGCCAGGCTGGATGTGGCTCTGGGCAGCCTGGGCTGCTGGTTGGCGACCTGCACACAGCAGGGGGTTGGGACTGGATGAGCACTGTGGGCCTTTGCAACCCAGGCCATTCTGGGATTCTGTGATCCTTGTGCTCAGAGGTGAATCCTGCACACACGCATGCTCCCCAACACAACTTTTGATGCCAGACAAAGGGAAGCACAGCAGAAAACACTCTGCAGCTAAGTGTACAAAGTGACAGCATTATAAAGCAGAAGCTTGTGTCCTATTAAGGCATTTGTGCAGCAGAACATCAAGGGCTGTGTCATTTGGAAGCAGCAATGGGAAGGACATCACTAATACAGGTGCTGCAGCTCCGAGGCCTGTGCTTCACAGTGAATCAGCACAGCAGCTGCGGGTTGGAAAATGAATACTTCACAGCCCCAAGTGCTCATACAGCCTTTTGGAAAGCAAATTGGCACATTTGAAAAACAAATTGCAAAAACCCATGTGGGAAGCCTCAGCAGCCATCTGATCCATTTGCTGGGGTGGACTGACAGGTGGCAGCATCCCCTGCTCCACAGCACAGTGACTGCATCTGCTGGCTGGGATGGGACTGCAGTGCTCCCGCAGCCCTCGGGAGCCCCGTGGCACTGCTCTCAGCTGAAAGCAATCGCAATTTGACCTCAAGGCTTAGCACAGCCTGAAGGAGAAGCTCCCCCAGCACTGACCCCCACCATCTGCCTCTTCACCTCCCGTCACCGCCAGCCGTCCCTGCTCCAAGTAGATCGAGACCCCTGGATCCCTTCCTGCAGGGCTGCTCTCCTGCCCCACGGCCCCCCAACAGAACATGCAGTCAGGGATGCCCCTTCCCACCTGCACTTCCTGTAAGCCTCATGCAGTTGGTGTCTGCCCAGCTCTCTAATTTGTTTGGATCTCTTGCAAAGCTTCTCCACACTCTGAGTCAACAGCTCCTCCCAATTCAGTATCATCAAACTTGCTCAAAACACTTTCCAGTCCTACATCCAAGTCATTTAGAGAAACATAAATAACCCTAAACCAGAGCCCTGCGGAATCCCCACTGACTGCAATCCTTCAGTGCCCCCAAGCAGGGTGTTAAGGAGGTTAACACTGAGTCAGGTCAAGTAACAAACACCTAGTATTTATTAATAAATTAGTACACTGGAAGGCAATTTTTCAGTTCATTCCCCTTTTCCCCACACCCACCCCTTCCCACAAGGCAGCACATGCCACCCTAATATCATTTTGTCAATTGGAGCATAGTACAGACTGTTCATTACGGGAGCATAATAGTTGCAAATATAATCAGACAGACTTCTTACGATGCAGCTTTTTTTTTTTTTTTTTTTTTTTACTTTTATTTTTTCCCCCTTCTTTTCTCTTTAATAAAAAGTGAAGTGTGATTTGAAGAGACTATCCAAGACCAGGCAGGGTCTTTGGAGAACCTAACCTATCGGCCATGTCTGTATAAAAAACAAGAGACACAAGTGTAAAAGCATAGCTTGGGAAGTCTTACGGCACACGGAGAGCAGAACCACCAGCGGGGTCCCCAGGTCCCAGACCTGGTGCTGCCACGACCCGCTGTCCTCTTGGCCAGGCAGATGCTCCTCGCTTGGTTGTACTGTCAGGAAGGTTGGTGGAACTGAACCTCTTCTTTCCATTCATCTGCTTCTGCTTTAGCTTATAGGAGCACAATGCGTTGTCCAGGTGAAAACCATACAATAAATAATCGTGCTAGTAAAATCTCAGCAATGAGCATGAGCTATATGATAGGACATTAAAAAAAGTCAACCAGGGAGGAAGCTGAGGTGCGTTAAGGTAACCAGCAACAATTGGCTTTGTGTGTTTCACCGTTTCCCACTCCCAGGTGGAAGGGAGGTAGCAGACGACGATCATTTGGAGCAACAGCTTTGACAGAACTGAAACGGGCTACAGAGCACCCCCAGACTCAATGCCTATAGGTGACACGGCATTCGTGGTCTTTTAGTTCACTTACTGCATTTTAAAGTGCATCAGCTGATCTGATTGGAATGGGAACAAAAGACTCTAAAGGGGGCAAAGGGTGCAAAGACTTAACTGAGCAACAGAGTTAAGGTTGAGAGGTGCAATGCTCACAAACTGCCCCCTCCAGAAACCAGGGACACCTCAAAGAAAATACTGGCCATGAATTCTACAGCAGACCTGCCTGCGCGCTGTCGGTCATCTTAACGAGTGCCAAGCTAGTTCTAGCAGATATTCGGAGAGTGCGCGGTGACCAGTGCCTACAGTAAGTCAGGGAGGTGGCTATAGACAGAGTCCAGGAGGGTTTGGCTGGCTTCCTGGCTCTTGACTCCGGCGATCTCAAACAGCCTGTCCAGCTTGTCCTCCGCCTGCGGGATCTCCTCGATCACATGGAGCTCCTCGGGGTTCAGGATGTGCAGCATGTCATCGAAGATGGGCTGCAGGTCACAAGGGTCCAAGCGCACCTGGCGCAAGACTGTGTCCTTCTTTTCTGCAGGAGGAAGGAGCAGGGGGTTAAAAAAGCCTCTTGGAAAGCCTCCACCTGGTTCCTGCAAGGAAACCTCGTCAGAGAACTCAGCCCACCCCCCTCCCTGCTCAGGAGAGGGACACACCAGGAAGGGAAACAAGGGAAAGCTGCAGCACGATGCGCTGAGGAATGGAGATGAAGGCACCAAAGCTGGGATCCTGCTAGAGCAAACACAGCAGTAATAACTGCTGAGTGGCCAGTACTGAAAGTTAAGGGGATGGTGGGAGGGGAGCCAAAAAGCTAAATTCTGCTATTTTGAGTTGTTTTCATTGGGTCAGCTTCATTTCTGCACCACAGAATAAATTAGCTAGGTCGCTTGAGCTCAGCAGTTCACCTTCACCAGAAGATAACGAAGATTCAATACAGCAAATTAAATGCAGGAGATCAAACCCCCTCATAAGGTGCAGGTGACTAATGGTGATTTACATCTCAAGATGCACAGTGCAGCAAGTGGGACCAAGGGTGAAAGATGAAAACAAGAATTCCAAAATGGCATTTTTCTGTTTTCATCTCACACAATAACCAATCCCCTGGACCAAAAGCCAGAAGGTCCCACAGACATCCAAGGATGTTGCACTTCTGACAACACCTTGAAGAGTTAAAACCCTTTAAAGGCGTTTTCCCTTGGAAGTCCTCTCTAAGGATACTCCCGGTCTTGACTCAGCGTGTGATAAACATATCCTAGAAAGCTGGTTAAAGCCCAGTTATTTGCTTTAATGACATCACACCCTCAGTGCTCACTGGCCAGCTGTGTGTGTACTGATGGCAGGGGCTGTGCCGTGGCCACACTCTGGGTACTGCTGCAGCCCTCCCGCTGCCCTCCCCACCCCTCTGGGCTGATTTTGGTACCTTTGGTAATAAAGGAGCCGGTCCGGCTGAGCGCAGAGGAGCCGCTGGAGGTGGAGTCGCATCGCAGGAGGGGCTCTGACTCGTCCACAAAGAAGCATTTCTTCTCTGAAGGAGAGGGCTCCACGGTGAGGACAGCCGCATCGGGTGGTTTAGTGCTGGGGGTGGGCACCGGGCTGAGCGGGCTGGGGCTCACAGGCAGTGCCAGTTTGTCACCTTCCAGCTGCAAGGGGAGCAGAGGAAAAGTCAAGTGGTGAGGATGCTACGTGCTGAGCTTGTGCTCCAAACCACCTGCATCCCAAAGGGATTTCACAGCAGCTTTCAGCCCACCCCTAGAAGAAGCTAAGAGAGCCCACGCCTGCGAGAGCCCACGTGTACAGTGAGCTCAATTAGGGACCTACCACCCCCAGAGGTGACTTGTGGCAGACATCAGTGCTAGCATTTGGCATACAGCACACCACACAGGTGGGGCAGAGCAGCCTGCATTCCCAGCAAGAGCAACCACAGCACCGCGGTGGCACATGCAGACAGCCTGCCCAGTTACCATCACTTTAACTTGCTTCTCATTCTCCTGCTCAGGGAAGGAGTTACTAAACTCTCATTCCCTTAAAATAAGGCACAGTCTGGTTCCATGCTTTCAACCAAGAGCTGCTCCATCCACCTGGTGACATCCCCAGACAATGCTCATTGACATGATATTAATGCCAAAGCACTTCTGGTGGCCTCAGACTCTGGTTCCTCATGCATCACTGGGATTTTGGCTGTTGGGACACAATGTTCCTGATTTATATCCCCCCCCACCTCCCTTGCTGGGATGCTGAGCCACATTCCAAGTTAATAATTTGTTTGCCCTGTCTGGCCCTTGCACTCGTGAGCACCCCATTAATGTGTTATAGAGAAATCCATCCCATCTGACTCTGCTTAGTCAGGAAGGACAACCAGTGCCTGGGGTTGACCACAACAGCGTCTCAGCACCTTCAGTTCTCACTCATACCCCTGAAGCAAACCAGGAGACTGCATTTGGCTCCATGGCCACAAAGGCACGGAGAGCCAGAAGTGCCACTCTGGGAAGCAGCATCACCTCAGCGGAGATCTGAACCTCCAACTCCACATCTTACTTCCTGTGCTTCAACAGCCAACACTTTGTGGCCCCTTGGTGTCTCAGCATCCTCTTGGGGTGGAGGACCTCAAGCAGTCTCCATTCCCAGCAGACAGGAGAGGCTCAGCACAGCGTTCCCACATCCCTGGCCAGCCCTGTGCCCCTCTGCAGATGACCAGGCTGCTCTGAGGACTGCAGACTATTTAACTTCAACCCAGACTCCACATCCTTGCTCTACTCACATCCTCTCATGTGCAAACACCTTCCCAACATTCATCTCACAGCCCTGTTTTCTCCTCCTGCAGAAGGAGCACCTGGCCACTCCTGTCTGCTCTTCCACTCAATGCCAGGAATTACAAAGCAAGCTGTGGATGAGAGGCAGGGAGCTGCAGAGCCACCACCATGCAGTGGAGGCAGAGCCCCAGTGGCACAGACATGGCTGTACCCACGCACTCCTTGTCTGCATCGAGGAATTCACCACCCACATTCATGTCCGCTGAGAGCCTGTTCACATCAAATTCACATTTCAGCCTGTTTGTGGAGGAATAAAAGGGTTGTGTTTCGATGGGGCTTTTTTTCCCCTCCTTTCCCCCCCATTGAAAATAAACAGGGAGGAATTGTTCTGGCTCAGCACATTATGCAATAGGCACCTTACGAATAAATGTCAGCTTTAATTTTTAATTAAAAGAATCAGCATTCTCCTCTCCAGCTCCCCCCCCGACGCAGCGCATCGGTGAGCTGCAGCCATTTACTGGGGAGAACACACTGCCCTGGCTGCTCTCCAAGCTGCAATATGCTCCCGTTTCCCCTAAAAACAAACAGGCTGCAGAGGTTTGTTTGTCCCCTCTGCAATTTCATTTAACACCCAACTGGAAAGCCAAGTCCTGATCTCCAAAACGGAGCTGACCCTTCAGCACCCCAAAACAGAGGGCATGGGGAAACCGCCAACCCCAGCCTGCCTTCCCAGCAGAGGGGAAAACACTTCCCAGAAGCGTGCGAGTTATTTGGAGTTTAATTAAACAGCTGCTAAAGCACGCTAGAAAAGCACCCGGGGTTATTTGTCTGTAGGCGTCCTCAGAGCCCGGAGCCTTCCAAATAGCTGAGCGCCTGTGAGCTTATTAGGCAAAGCAAACAGGATGCTGGGATGTGTTAATGTTTAAACCGCAGGAAGAAAGCAAGTGGGAATGAAGGTTTTGAAAGGGCAGGGAAAGTAAGAAGTTGCTCTGAGGTGAAGCCCGTGGAACAGGCATACAAACAACCATTCATAGCCTGTGAGTCATCTGCCCGAAACCAGCTCTGCAATCCCTATTTCAAGCGAAACCACGGCGGCCGTGCCCCTGCCCTGGCTGCAAAAAGAATGAAATCCCTCTGCAGTGCTTCTGCCCTTCCACAGTGACCGCATTTCTCACCTTTCCGTCATCATTCGAGCAGTCCTGCGTCTGCCACTGAGGCTGCACCTGCACAGACAGAGAGGGCTGTTAGTCCTGAGAGGCAAATGCCCACATGAGCAGCAGAGGGCTTGCAGCAGGCAGCCATGCAAGACTCTGATACATCAGCAGCCTCCTGCAACCAAGTGCAGCTCCATCCTGCTGGGATGCTCTGCTGCTTTTTGATCTTTTGCTAAGCACTGCACTGCAGCAGGAAGCTTGCCACAGCTGGGTATGCCTTTATTTCACCGCGCTGCAATACAAGACTAACTGAGACAAACTGCAGCCATGCTGCTCACATCAGGGAGGACTGGGCATAGGCATTAAGAATCGTATCATAGAACCATAGAATGGCCTGGGTTGCAAAGGCCCACCAGTGCTCACCCAGTTCCAACCCCCTGCTGTGTGCAGGGTCACCCACCAGCAGCCCGGGCTGCCCAGAGCCACATCCAGCCTGGCCTTGAACGCCTCTAGGGATGGGGCATCCACAGCCTCCTTGGGCAACACGATCCAGTGTGACATTACCCTCCGAGTGAAAAAGAATAAAACAAACTGTCTCAGAGGTGACACTTCCCAGCAATCCCTCCCACTGCAACCAGCTGGTCACCAAAGCCACTGCGACAAAAAGAGAAGTGCCAGCCTGAGCACAGACAGATCTCCAACTGGGACTGCGTCAGTTCAAAACAACCCTTGCAGGTCATTTATCAACCTGCTGAATCGACGTTCAGAAGAAATGCTGAGGAGGAGGGATGCACTTGTTCTTGCTTGTTCCAGGCAACTTCTGCAGGGCTCATGATTGCCATCTCTAAGTGACAGCAGCCTCAGGACATGAGTGTACTCAACCATGGGAGGACCAAGCCTCCAATGCTGCTGGAGCTGCTCCTGCCCAGCAAAGCCCCCAAAGTTCGCTGTTGGGTCAGCCTGACTCTGGGCACAGAGCCTGCAGCAGCAGTTGGGGTCAGGTCGGGTTTTTCCTGCCCAACGCAAACACAGATGAAACAGATGCTATTTTTATAAAAGAAAACTCACAAGGGGCTGTGGTGGGAGGAGAAACCTCTGCAGAGGGACGTGCGGGGGTGAGCAGGTCGGGTGGCTGTCTGTCATCCCGGATGGGATAAATTTAGTGCTGAGGTCACCGATTCCCAGCTGAAAGTTGACATGGGCAGACAGGAGCCCTGCGTCCAGGTTTGTCACAGCTCCACATGGTGCTCAGGGAGGGCTGGGAGGAGAAATGGCAGCATGGAGAGCACTGTGCCGGTGGTGCTGTGGTGTGAGGGATGCTCTCCCTGTGGCACATAGTCAAGATCTGTCCAGATTAACAGCTCTGTGCTCTTCCAGCACTGGAGATTTTCCCATTAAGCGAGGCTGTCACGTCCCATCAGCTCTCTAGGGGGACAGGGTGGGATTACCAGTGACAGCAGGGGCGACTGGCTGGGTGAACCAAAGGGGATGCGCTGAGGGCGACGAGCAGTCTCATGGAAAGCCCTTAGACCAACACTCACAGAACATCCTGAGCAGGAAAGAACCCCAAAGGATCCCCGGGCCCGGCCCCACACAGCACCCCCAGAGCCCACCCTATGTCAGAGCAGTGCTGGTTCCTTGAGAACCAACCCATGGTTTAGTGCAGATCTAAACCAGCAACACCCGGCCCAGCTGCCACAGCAAACCCACCCTGCCCTACTCCTCCCCAGCGTCTGGCTGCTCCGTACCACAGCTCTGGGCCAAGTTATTGGCCCCAGCCCAGTTCTGCTGTGACAAAGAGGAAACAAAGCAAATCTGTGGGACCCGGAACCACCCCAAGCTAGGGCTGGAAGCAAACACTGCTGTGCAGCATCCCGGCCCCAAGGCTTCGACCTGTGAAAGGGGAAGAGAAGGCACCAAGCAGCACTGCCACCGCCTCAGCTGGGGCTTTCGCATCCTCTTCTCCCCCAACAGCCCCCAAAACTGCATAGCTTAAAACTCCATATGTCTCTGATACCGGGCTTTTCCTCTGCTATATCTGCTGATTCACAGGATTATCTGCAAGATGAAATTAGCCACAGACCTAAATCTCACTGGGATCGGGGCTGCAGCCTTCCTCTCCGCTGTTAATTTATTTCTTTTGCTGCTGAACATCTCAAGCAAGGCTGTCTGCTTCCCTCCAGCAGCTCCCCAGAATGCTTCAGCTGAGAACAGACAAGCTATTAACACAAAGATAAGGGCTCAGAGCAGAGCTCGCAGTAGCAAACACAGCACAGTCATGGACGCTGCTCAGGAGCTACCTGCAAATGCTCTTAACCTAAAAATCCCACTCTGCATCTGTGCCATGTAAAAATTTTCCTTTTTTACCCTCAAAAACTGCAATTTGTTGGGACCTGCAGTGAATTCTCCTCCTTCCTCCCCTTGCCTTCCTTTCGCTGCTGCCATCGGCATCACTGATGCAGGCTGTGCCCTCACAGCCATACGCCTGCCCCAGCAAGCATGCTCCAAGGGGAGAGATTTTGCAAAGCCTTCCACAGGAGCTGGAAGAGAAAACATCCATTGTGAGCACTGAACAGGAGCTCAATGCTCAACGTGCTTCAAACATCTTCCCACAGCTGCCGTGCTCTTCCTATTTTCTGGATCAGCAAATGCTGCAGAAACTTGCAAAGTGATTCAGAGGGCTAATCCAGTTTTAACCTAAATTCATGCAGCATGGTGTAAAACCAGCATAATCTTTTGTAGCTAAAAAAGCTGTCAAGCAATCAGCAGAGCTCTTCTTTCCCAAAAGGAAAACCTTCCTGTCACATACCATAATGCTCCAGAGGTTTGTATTAATTTGCTTTTCCTGCGTTATCAGCGGTTGTAAATATTTATATGTCAGAGCCCCAGAGGCTCCTGTGGGCATGGAGAACTGCTAGAGAGCAGCTCTGCCTCTGCAGATTGCACAGATTGGAGCTGGAAGCCAGATAGAGGGTCTGGGGCAATGATGTAATAAAGAATGGGATGGCAAAGGGCGACTGGGTTTGGGGTATTGATTTGCTGTCCAAGAGCTGTGTTATTAGGTACCAGTTGGGGGTGTTGGTGTTTTCTTCTTGTCCTTGCTATGCTATAGCTGTTCTCCACAAGGAATGGGAATTTCCCATCATTTTCTCATACCACCACATTCCTTGGTTCATGCTGCTGGCGTCGACCCGTTAGCTGCCATATGCATTTATTTGCATTGCTTATGAGAGCCCTTGCTTCCCTCCACAACACAACCCAACGAGCTCTCTTTATGCCTGTGCTTTTGGCAGGACTGCTTCAGCACGGCTCATGGCCGGAGGGATGCAATGCAGCACCGACTTCTGCCACGACTCCTTCAGATCAAACCAGTTGGGTACGGAGAAAAACCGCCTCGACCCAGGCTGCATTTGGACAGACAAGAGCCAAACAGATTAGCGCTAATTAAAGGCTTTCAAACCAGAGCAATTAAAACTAAACCCAAACAAAACCTCAACGTCTGCTGCTGGTGTTTAGCAATAAGCTGCCCCGGTTGGGACCGCCACAATGCAGCTCAGCTGTAGGCGTGAGGCCGCAGGGCGCCGGGTTCCCTTGCACAACACATTTCCCATGGCTTTCTGCCTCCCTCCTCTGTCTCACAGCAATGGAACAGCCCTAAGGGCCTTCAACACCCAAACTGCAGAATCTAACTGAAGGAAACAGGCTGCGGCAGGCGATACCTTGCAGGATCTGAGCCCCGAGGTGCTCCAGCATCCCACACCCTGCTGCAGCACAACCACCAGTCCGGTGCCTTTGGGAACATGCACGTGGATGGTGGATCATTGTAGACTCACCCAAAGAAGATAGACAGGGGAGAAGAACATGCTGGCCTGTGTGAATTTATTCAAAAAAGCAGAAAAAATCCCCCTTTCTGTATAGGCACTACAGGCAAAGCAGAGAACGTGCATGTTTTCCTCTCAGAAAGAAGCTAAAGATCCTGTCTATTGAGATTCTTTAAAAAAGGAAACTGAGCACTTGAGATATCTCAAATCCTAACAGAAAGCTGCTCACCAGCACATTCCCAAGGGGCTCTGCAGCATCACCCACATGGTTCTTTGATATTCCCACCTGCAGTCACTGCAGCCATTCAGTAAGGTTTTCCCTTAGGAGGCTGACTGTTTTTTCAGCCCAAGTCTCCAATCATAGAATCATTAAAGTTGGAAAAGACCACCAAGATCACCTATTTCAACTGTCAACCCATTAGCACTATGTCCACTAAACCAGGTACCTTGCTGAAAAGCCACAAGGTCCAAAAATCCCAATACAAGAATCCATGAGATTTGGGTTTGCTTATTCCCTGAAACATCAGCTCACGGGGCTTTCAGATCACAGGGCACACGTTTAAGCAAGTTCCTCAGCCATCAGAAGTCTCAGCAAGTTGCCTTATAAACCCAGCTGCCAAAGTTGCCACCCTGATTTTTTCACTGTTTGAGAATGAGCACCTGATAATCCTGGCTGGAGCAGAGCAGTGTTCAGGAGCACTGAACACTGCACAATCTAGGCCTGCTAATTAGACATTGTGCTAACAAACCAACCCCACACTTTATCTGATGTCCTAGCCCAGCACTTTACTGTAATACTCAAAACAGTAACCAGGAGAACTGAGTTTACTACCTGCTTGAGGAGACCAAAAGGACGACGTGTCCTCCTGGCACACTGCTGGGCTGGAAACTTGACCCACACGTACTAGAGACTTTTAGGACTAAAATTTTCTCTACCTTTTCTCCTGACTATAATTTTGTCAGAGGCTTGCATTTTTTATATTAAAAAAAAAAATAGACAAAAACCCTGCACTAACAAGGAAAAGGAGGAAGTGACATACTGCTTAATTACCAAGAGTTGAGCAAAACAAACTATAAAGCACTTGGCTGCTGAACTTAACACAAGCTGAAGAATCTGTGATTTTGTACTGGGGTTAAAAAAACAAACAATAAAACAGAAAGCCATGCAGGGTTACATGGCACTGCAAAACAGAGTCCTGCTCAGAGGGGGCAATTTGGGATGGCCTTGTCCCAGTGAGGGGTTTGGGAACCCCCTGCTCCACAGCAGCAAGAGGTGTATCAACAACTGCTTTGAGGGAAAGAGCCCTGCACTGACCTTCCCAGCTGGATCTATGTATTGTCCCAGTGGCTTCCACATTCAGAAGAATCTCCACTCAACACATTTAGGAACTTTTCCAGAAGGCCACTACTGAATGAGAGCCCACCAGAATAAAAGCACACCAACATCTAAAGTAAGAGATGGCAAAAACAATCTGAAAAGGTCACCAAGGCTGGCAGCTGATCTGTGCTCCCAAAAACTTACCCCCAGCCAAGACTCTGCCACAGGATACTCTGCAGCAATTATTTTCCAAAAAAACGGGAAAGTCTGCTATAAAGCCAGAGCTGCTGCAGAAGGGAAACTGTTCTGGAGACTGGTACACACAGAGCCTTCCCCCTGCACAGGGCAAGGCCCTACACATGGCCTTCCAATACCTGAAGGGAGCGTATAAACTGGAGGGGAATGGCTGTTTGTGAGGGTGGATGGTGATAGGACAAGGGGGAAGAGTTTTAAAATGAGACAGGGGAGGTTTAGGTTGGATATGAGGAGGAAGTTTTTCATCCAGAGGGTGGTGAGGCACTGGAACAGGTTGCCCAAGGAGGCTGTGGATGCCCCATCCCTGCAGGCATTCAAGGCCAGGCTGGATGTGGCTCTGGGCAGCCTGGGCTGCTGGTTGGCGACCTGCACACAGCAGGGTTGCGAGCCTTTGCAACCCAGGCCATTCTCCGGTTCTGTACACACCCAGGCTGAGCTCAACAAACAAGGCAGTGGACGAGGCAGGTCAGCACCGTGCCCAGCCTTACCGCCGTGGTGTCCTCCATCAGGCCGCGGATCTTCTCCACCACGTCGTTGCGGCGGTGCTGCCGGAGCGCGCTGATGAGCTGCGCCAGGCTGGCCTCGGGCCCGCGGATGGTCCAGTGCTGCAGCGCAGCGTAGGCCCGCTCGTGGTCGGCCGCGTAGCCGTTGGAGAAGGCGGCCACCTCGCGCTCGCTGGCGTTGCACAGGAACTGGTAGATGTCCTTCCACTGGCTCCCCACCTGGGCCGCCACCAGCTTCAGGATGTCGATGCCTGCGGGGAGAAGAGCCACAGGTGAGGCACGGGGAGACTCACAGCCTCCTGGAAATGCAAACCAAAGCTCCAGCAAAGCTTTTCTCATTCTCAAACGGACAAGTTTTGCTTTTGTTTTTTAAGACTTGACCAAAAGGGAACAGCTTATGAGTCCGGGCCACAAAGAGCTTTGCAGATAAGAGCAGCCATCACAGAATTGTCACAGAATGGTTTGGGTTGTAAGGGACCTCAAGGATCACGAAGCTCCAAACCTGCAGCCACACGCAGGGCCACCAACCTCCACATTTCAGAGCAGCCCAGGCTGCCCAGGGCCCCATCCAACCTGGCCTTGAACACCTCCAGGGATGGATGGGGCATCCACAGCCTCTGAGCAGCTGTTCCAGCACCTCACCACTCTCACAGCAAACAACTTCCCCCTCACATCCAACTGAAATCTGCCCTCCCTCAACTTCAAACCATTTCCCCTTGTCCTGCTGTTACCTCCCCTTTCCAAGAGCTGACTCCCCTCCTGTTTGCAGGCTCCCTTTAGATTCCGAAAGGCTGCAGTAAGGTCAAAACCCACGATGTGTTCAAACACCATTAACCCCTGTATGCACATCAAGTGTGGCAAATCCATCAGCTGGTCCAATGGAGGCACATGCACTGTAAAATGAACAGTGCAGTGACTGCTGCCTACAAGCTCTGAGCACAGGAAGCCCTGATGTTCAGCCACTGCTGCAGTGCTGCCATGGGCTCACCCTCACATCTGCATCACAGCTGCAGCTTTGAATGGAAGCTGGATTATGAAATGAGTCACTAAAGCTCCTCTATCAAGATGAATGGCGCTTTCATAACACAGCAACCGCAGCACCTACAGCCATATTTAGAACAATTTTCCAGGCAGATTGGTGGCATCAGACAAGTGTTGCAAGAATGAAAGATTTGGTATGAGGTTTAAATCGTAGAATTATCTAGGTTGGAAAAGACCTAAAAAGGACCTAATCCAGTCACCAGCCCAACACTACCAGGCTGGATGTGGCTCTGGGCAGCCTGGGCTGCTGGTTGGCGACCTGCACACAGCAGGGGGTTGAAACTGGATGAGCACTGAGGGCCTTTGCAACCCAGGCCACTCTGTGATTCTGTGATATGGTTATGACTATCAAGTTCCACATGTCCAGAGATGAGGACACCACCATTCCCTTGGCAGCCTGTTCCAGAGCCCAGCCACCCTTTCCATGAAGAAAATCTTCCTTGATGCAACTTGAGGCTGCTTCCTATCGCTTGTCACCTGAGAAGAGAGACCAACACCTCACTGCGGCCTCTTTTCAGGTGAGGTCTCCTTTCAGCCTCTTCTCCAGACTCAACGACTCCAGTATCCTCAGCTGCTTCTCATAACTGGTTTTCCAGCCCAGTGAAAAGCAGAAAGGCAGGATTTCACCCCAAAGCTCAAGACACTTTGTTTGAAGAGCAGGAGAATTTCCTCCCTTTAGTTTTGAAGCAATACCAATGGCATGCCTTGCATTTGCTCAGCAGTCAGAAATTATACCTTCAAATAAAGCCATACCTCTTCCATAAGAGCTCATACAGTCTGTTTCTATCCAGCTGAACACTACCTTGTTTCAAACAGCCCCACAAAGGGGAGGCTTGAAGGATCTGCAAGAAGAAACTCGCTTTTTCCAAGAAGTTACCACACTCTGGGTATCCCCGTGTGCCAGCATTCCTCCGTGGTTGCATACACTACTTCTTCCATCCATCTGTGGACACGTCTGTCAGCAAAAATAGCTGCTCACAGAGGAATACTGTAGTCAGGGTCTTTCCAGCAGGTGTGAAATTCAGCAACTTCTATCTGAAGCAGTTCAATCCAAATCTCCCAACAGGTCTCAGCCCTGATATAGCTAAATATCCCATAGCTTGTTACAGTTATTTTTGACCAAACTCCATCTTCTCTCTATTAAAGCAAGCTTATCAGTACTGCTATGTAAAGACACCAGCTCTCATTTTAGAGCCAGATAACCATACAGCATTTTCTGGTACCCACAACCCCACTGTGCTCAGAGTATCCAGAAGTGGTGTTGAAACTGCTCTGCAGCTGAAACAGCAAAGCACAGCCGGGGTTCTGCATACCCCTGCCCTCCACCCACTGCAACCCTGACAGCCTCCTTCCCCAGCAGATATGAGCGAGACCTATGGACAGCTTGAGGACTGCAGCCTGCTTCTCTCTCCAGCAGGGTTTGACTCCACTCGCTGCTGAAAGGAGCAAGCAATATCTCACCAGCCATCACAGATAGGTGATGGTTTGGCTTCTGCGTAGTGTAAAACCTCAGCCTCCCAGCCTAGCGCAGAGGATCTCTCCTTTCAGGGGGAGTTTTAAGGCTCTGGGTGCTGCTGCAAACGTTTTGCTAACACATTTCCTCCACAGGGACGAGGCAGAGCAGTTGACTTGATGCAATCTGCTGCTGCGTTCAGGGAAGTGGTGTGGCAGTCACACGTTCACATCAGGGAGTTACAGGTGTGCCCTAAGAGCCCTTCTGCTCTGGCAACAACACACAGAGATTAACGACCACATTTAGAGCATGACAGCAAAGGGGCTTAAAAGCAAAGATATGCATCGCTGAGCTGCCTCTTAAGCAGCTTTAAACTCATACTGAGGAGCAGCAAGGCAAGGATTCCCCAGCTCTGTGTTTCAAAAGCAACAGCCACAGGGCTCTGTTTTAACAACGGAAAGGTTAGGGGGGGGGGGGGGGGGGGGAAGGAAAAGAAAAAAATAGTAGTAAGAAAAAAAAAAGGTTGGGGGGAAACCTTCTTTGTTATTCAGAATAAACCCAGGGCAAAAGAAATATTCCCCAGCATACAGGAAGAAAAAAAGGCTGCCAACACGCTATTATGCTTTATGATGGGGCTAATTATCTGAGGCACATAAAAAGAAGTATGTTCCTGCCCATAAAATGTCAGCACACAGCTGGCAGCAGGCATTTGGTCTGGTTTTGCTGCCTCTCCCATTTATTCACACAAAGCCCCAGCCATCACGTCAGCACCTGCGTGTGCCCCAAAGTCACCCACTCCTTGCCCTTGGTAGGCACACAGGCTGTCAGTTGGGAGCAGGAGCTGCATGCACCCACATCACACCAGTAACCAACCAAGTGCCTTCAGGCATCACAGGCTGCTGTTGGGAAGCAGCACAACAGAACCACCCGAGTCTGAAGAAAAGAATGCAGATCCAAAGGTCTAACTGGAATAAGAAGCAGGAAAAGCCCTGCAAAACTTGTGCACCAAGGCACCAACAGGAATGCTGGGAGGGATGAGCAGTGCCAGCACTGCCCTGTACAGAGGAGGGTCCCTGCAGCATGCTGCTCGACAATGTAATCGCTGGTTACAGCCCCTGGCAGCACAGTGAGCCCACCAAAGAGAGGGAAAAACCCCCAGGCTCCCTGCTTCCACCTGCACGCTCAGTGCTGATCCATCCCACTGTTTATAGCTGCTGCACTGATGAGAATTGGCAGCCAGTCAAACCAGTGAATCGGCACCAGTTTTACACAGTGACGTGACACTGTACTCTGATATCCCCGGCCAGGATTTATGACACCTCTACTGACATTCCCGACTTCGGGGTACTGGATCTCACAATTCAATAAAGCAGCCCCACAAACATGTTTGTACCTCTTGGCAGTAATATCCCAGGGCATCAGACTGCACTGCAGAGCAGAGAACTTAATGGTGTGTAATAATCTTCAGAGAACAAATGCTCCATTAAAAATGAATTTGGAAATTTCTACCTTAATACTGTAAGAACCTTCAACTCATTTTCTTGTAACTATTAAACAAATGTAAACCCCATACGTTCACTATATCCACTACAATATTGTGCAAACAAAACCCTTAAGAGATACGGAAGACAGAGTTGAGCACAGATTTGGCTTGAGTCTCATGGAGAACCATTTACATCCCATGTCCTGAAAAATAAGATTAAAACCATTACATGACAAGCTGCTGCTGCACACTGCCAAGTATTACTCCTCGAGCCATTTACAGCAACTTAATTCACTTCTTCAAAGCTAAAATTAATGCTTATAATAAGCTTACAGACATGCTATTCATATTTCTAGAGCCCTCACAAAGTTACCCCCGGAGCACTGATAGGGCTGGAGTGCACCATGGGACAGGACGGTGCCATCAGAGTGCAGCACGTTTCCTGTTTCAGTGGAGTGAAACCTGCCCTCTCCTGTCCCCAGCACATGGCACTTGTGGATCGAAAAACCCCAGCCTCACCCCAGGACCCTCTCCTATCAGTTGAGACTGGAGACAATGCTTGAAACCCTTCAGGGCCCAATAATTCCAACTAAAACAGTTGAGCTTGGAAGGGATACTGCTTGAACCCACCTGTTTTGTGCTTCCTATGCAAAGGGTGGTCACAGCCACATCGGCATGATGCAGAAGCTCTTCTGAGCTTGCAATTAACAGAGAACAGCCCAACAAGAGCTGCGGCCCACAGCTGAAGCTACAGCCTGCCCTGCAGTCACATCACAGAGGGCTTACAGACACTACTGTCCATCTCCCCCTACAACCATGGCTCCTACACAGGGAATGGGAGCAGCCTGGGAGAGCACCCACCACCCTGCAACTAATCCTGCGAGGATTCCACCTGTGGACACCACATTTTATCCACCACCATTTATTAATCAGCTTGGCTCACCTCAAAAGAAACTGAAATTCAAGAGCAGCCCTTGCTGTGAAATCTTCCCAGCTGCTACAAGGCTGCATCCAGCAGAGTCGATGTGATGTGGCTCAGATGCTCCTGTGGCAATACAGGACGCCCAGGTACATCCTGGGAACCTAGGCAAGCGTGGTGGGCCACAGCGCGGAAGCGCCTCATATTTTAAGGTTATCATCATCCCTGAATTTCTACCTAGGGCAAGGTTTTGTGTTTAAATTCAGCATTGAGGCTGTTTGCTAGGAAACTGGTTGTCAGTTACTGGCAGTGATACCATGCAGTGCCTCTTAGACATGGCTCACATGGCTCAGAC